TCCTGGATTCCCAGGCCTTGGGTCACTGCCCCTGCTTGAAGACCTGGCAGTTGCTCTCCTTGCAGTTAGCAATGAAAGCGGTGGATGAAATTCAGTCTTCCCCTTGCCTGTTTTAGCTAACACCCTACTGTAGCTGCGCAAAAGCAAAATCTTAATTCCTTATCTGTGAAACAGGGATAAATAATTCCATTAAGTGCCATATAATGCTGGGGTGAAAGATGCTCTGTTAGTGGATGCACTGCTCACAAGCATTTCAAGACCCATGCATGGAGTCCTTCAAGCATTTTAAAGCCCCTTGTAAGCATTTGTGCTTCTGTTATTTGAATAGCAAATAGAAGTCTAAAGACCGTCTCCTTTTATTTTATGTTGTTTGAAAAACAAGCCTAACTTGCAAGTCTCCATTTGCTGGGGAGAATGACAGAGCAACTCTTCTAAATATCCAGAATGGGGAAATTTCATGGACCATTCCTGATTTTGTTCACTTGACTGAAGATGCAAAGGACTTTATGAAAGGGATCCTACAGCAGCACCCCAAGTGAGTGCACTTTTCTGCTTCCTACAGCCAGTGTGCAAAGATGTTAGTGTCTCAGCAAGCAGATCTCAGCTCCTCAGAGCTGTGGTCGTTTAGAAAAGTAGAAATCTGAGTGAGATGTGGTTCGTTATGCCCCAACACTTCTTTATTATTCCCCAGTACCCAAAGCACAACTCTGCAATTTGTGAAACTGGCCCAATTCTGGTATGGTGATGTCCTTACGCCCTGACTCTTCCAGGCAGATGAGCTTCTGAAATGACACAGAGAAGTGGGAAAAGCAAGGACTGGTTTAGAGGGAGTTACGCGAGAATTAAATAACATTAACCATATTCATTAAGTAATTTCAAGTACAAAAGGCGGCTTGAAGGCATGGTTGCAGGCACTTGGTTTTTAATTTAATTTCTATTCTTTCTGCCTGCTCCAAAAGCTATTTTTGCTCTGGCCACCTAAAAAGTCAGTCAGTCTTAGGGCTGCTCCTGATGCTCTTGAACAGGGTCCCTGCAGAGTGCCATGGGGTCTTCCTGAGGATCTGTAGGGAGTCTCAGACTGAAAAAGGAGAATTGTTTCACCTCAAGGGGAGGAAACCTTGGGTTGAAAGCCTCTGCCTGTTTGGCTTCTAGCTCTAAAACAGCAACCTAAGGACACACACAAAAGTGTATGTGTGCGTCCACATGAAGCAGGCACCTTCAGAAAGATCTTATGGTTGCTACTGGAAGTGATTTGCTACTAAAATGGTGATCTTTTCTCTTATCAGAGCCCGGCCTAGTGCCTTGGACTGTCTTTCACACAAGTGGTTCATGGTAAGTTTGTCCGGGTTCCTTACTAGACTCATTAGAAACAGTGAGGTTGGAAGAGACCTTTAGAAGGGTAGCCCTTAAAGCTGCTTGATATTACTTGACAGTTCATTTTTCTCTGCTGGTCTCTTGCTTTCTATCCTACAGAGTAGCTCAGGCATGGCTCTCCAGAAAGAGGAGACACATCGGTGTTTACATTCCAAGATATCTTTCCTTTCAAAAGATAAAGATTACTGCTGACATGAGCCGACATAGTATGTCTGTGTAGAAGGGAAACTGGATTTGCAGAGCAAAGTTATGGTTTCTATTACAATGCCTAAGAAGAAAAGCTGAAAACTAACAATAACAAGAAAAAAAAAATAATGACATGCATTGAAAAGGGTTTGCTTTTATCATCGAAAAGCTGAGATTGTCTACAATTTAGCCATGAGGGGATTGTAGCATTTGGTCTATTGTAACTTTCCTGAACTAAACAATTCTGGAAGAAAGGGGATCCTAAAACCGAAAAAACTTCTCAGAAATGCAGTCAGGATTTTTAACCAATTATTTTCCTATCATTCCACCTGGCAGCATAATCTCCCCCTCGAAGCAGCTCATTTCATTAATACGAAGCAGCTCAAGTTCATTGTGGCTCGGAGCAAATGGCAGGTGAGTTGGCCTTAATCTATGTTGGTTCTTTTTAGTTATTTATATTTTAATTATATTTGTATTTTTAAAGTCTATCATGACAGGACAGTGTGCACAGCAGAGATCTCAGCCTGGCTACGAATGGGGAATAAGCCCGGGAGAGAGCAGTCAATGGATGTGGCAGAAATAAATTATCTAGGCTTTTATTGCCTGGAAATCACCTGATCTCATGCAGGTGCTTGTAAGATGCATGGTTATGTCTAAGCTACGTACCCTCAGCCACCTTTGCAATTGTTACTGAATTACAGACAGGTCCCAAGAAGACTCCTCTTTTCCTGCAGTTCTCTAAAATAATCAGAAAGATTGCCTTCTGAAGATGCCTGTTTCTCTCTGTTGGCAGTAAGGGGAGGCCAGCTGCTCAAGTATAACTGAGATGTCTTGCATGGCAGAAGGTAGAATCTTACCTCACACAGCATGGTAGGTCTTCTGTTGGCCTAAGTCACTGCAGGTTGTACTGCAGTCAATGGATTTAAGGCCATTTACTCCACCTAGGCTCTCATCTGAAGTGTTCCTTTAAAAACACTTTTCCATCTGCTTTGAGTGGACATATTGTCTTTGAAAACCCCATGTATGGTCCTGCTTCCCTGTTCACAACAGCAAGTATGTCCCCTGAAGTCAGTACAGTTTCACCTCTGTGAATGAGAGAAGAGGAAGACTTGGACAGCAGTGAGGCTTGGACTGACAATATGTACAAAAGGGTGTACAAGGCAATGTGTTATTAAACTAGTATGTGTGGTATTTAAGAATGCAGAAGTTCAGTTTGGTATGGTTGCTTTTACCATACTCCCACCACGTTTTTGTTTGATTGTGCTTTATTTTGTTTTGCTTTTCAGCGGTCTCTGATGTGCTATAAATCCATACTTGTAATGCGGTCTATCCCAGAAATCCTAGAAAGGACCCATGACAACACCTCCCTGGCCATCTCCCGACATCTTATTGAAGAAAGCACTTCATCCAGCACCAGTGGCTCCTCTTCAGACAACGAAAATTCCAATTTCCCCAAGAAGAGGCACTTTGGCTCTACACCCGAACTCCACTTGTCCATACTTGATGCACCAAGCCACCAGGAGCCTCCAAAACATGCAAGTGAAGAGAAGCACTCCAAAATCTCAGTCCCTCCAGTAAAACCCATAAGGAGGAAGTATGCTTCAATGAAAGCTGAGGTGGGGGAAAAATCACCTACAGAAAGCAAAGAGCTCATGGCAAGTATCTTAAAGGAGAAAGAGGAGGGGCTCCATCATGGACTTCAAGATGAAAGAGCAGATCAGTCCCAAAGAAGTGGTGCTACTGAGCCTTCATCAGTGAGGATTTCCGCAGAAAGCACTTTGCCTCTGTGTCAGAAAGAAAAAACAGATGTATTTTTACCTGACAAGGACAGAGTTGAAAAGGCTGAGGATGGGACAGAAAAGCCACCTGTCTGTGTTCCTAGACAGAGTGTCATTAAAAGCACTTTCTACAGCCAAGCAGCTGAGCTACCTGCAAGGGGGCCTTCCTCACCAGGCAAGGAGTTCAGGAGGCACCTGGACAGAGCCAGAAGGACTTTCCGGAAGGCTGGATATTCAAAGGTGCCCCTCAGTGGTCTCCGTGAACCCCTTCTAGAGCAGTTTGAACTGGAAGAAGAAGAAGGAAAGTCTGATTATGGAGGTGATCACAGGGAAAATCTGCTTGGTTCCTTGACCAAATCAGCTTCATTTGATACTGCAAGGAAACCACCACATCCTGCCATTGCTGGTGCTAGCCGAAGCCGTTCCCTGGATGACTACAGGCTGAGAGCCTCAAGATCAGTGAGGGAAGAAGATATTTTGGAAGAAGACTGTGATGTATTGTCACAAGAAAGTTGTCCTGAAGGCAGTGGCCACTGCGACATTTCTGCAGGGCCTGGCAAGGGATGTTCTGTAGACACTTCAAAGCAAGAGGACTTAAGGAGAGTGAGCAAGGATTGTTCAGAAGAGAAGCCCCCGCCTTCCACACAATGTGAGGGTAATGAGTGTCCAACAGGTATTGTGCAACAGCTAGAGAGACTTCCAGTGTCATCTCATAGGAGTGAGAATAGGAAACCTTTACTGAAGAAGTCAAAAGCTACTTATATTGAGGAAGAAACTGATGATTTGGAAGGTGAAAGCCCCTTTCTAACTGACCAGTGCTCAGATGTAGCTACATTATCAGCTCAAAACCATGAAAGCATGGAAAGTGAACATCAGGTGTCCGAGCAGCACCAGGCCTCCTATCACAGTGGTAAGGTTTCTGATGATCTGGAAGGTGGGCCTCCAGGTACCTTAACTGCTTCTCAAACACAAGTTGCTCCAGCTTCAGTCTGTGAGCTAGAAGATGAGGAATATCCAAAGGTTCATGGTGAGGGTAGAACTGTTGCCTTAGAAGGTAGAAGCTGTGATGCTGGAAAGACTGTCCCACCATCGCTCCACAGGGATCAAAGTCAGGAGCTCTCACATCACAGGTCGTCTTTTTACAGTGATGAGGAGTCTGCTGTGCTGGAGGGCTTAGTGGATGAGATGGTTTCCCTCTCTGAAGAGATGAATGTTTGGGCACATTCAGTTTCTGGTGAGGAGGAAAACAGAAAGCACATGTCTCCTCCCACAGAGATGGTCTACCAAGGTAGTCAAAGACAAGCACCCACAGAAACTTCCTTCCCTTCTGTACAAGGGAGTAAAAGAGCAGAAGTCTCTGAGCTGTACCTTGCAGAACCCTATCCTGTCGTGGGTGAGGAGTCAGTGGTACTGGAAGGGCAGGGAGCACAAATGGTTCCTCATGAATGTGAGCATCTGGAGGACTTGGCATTTGAGAGTGCTACTTCGAGCCAAGCGAGTGTTTCTTCAACAGATAGCTTGGACACTGGAAAAAGACACAGTCAGGTGTCAGTGATCCAGGACACGGTTAAGCATCCAGAAGTTTCTTTAGTGAAAATCAAAGACCTGTCAGATGAAGCACCCAGCCTTGGCAGTGGAACTCCAAAATTTGACATATCAGAGGTAGAGCCTGCCTATTTGAATTTCTCTGATTTGTATGACATTGTCTATTTTCCATTTGAATTTATGAACTATAGGAAGGCTCCACCCAAACCAACTGGTAGACGGTTTATACCTTTTGGTGAAAGGGCAAGGTCCCCTCCTGCAGGACATTTGCATAAAGATAAAAGACTGTGCATCAGAGAACAGGCAGAGGACAAGAACAGGAAGAACCATTTGGAAATATCTGAGGATTCAAAGGCAACTAATTTATTAGCCACAGGGAAAGGGTCAGAGAGTCATAAAGAAATGTATGGCCCCCAAAAGGACTCAAGTGGTAAGCAGAAAAGCTCTGTCTACAGCAAGCCAGGACTCTTTAAGCCATATGCAAGGTCTCATTCAGTGGAGCAGTCAGTGGAGCAGAGTCTGAAGAAGAAAGTAAAAGCTTCTGTCGCCCATATTTCAAGAATCCTAAAAGGAAAGATATCTCCTGAACCAGAGGCAGGGGAAGGTAAATATTTTACTCTTCATAGATTCCTTCACAGATGCCTTCATAGATTTGTTGCTATAACTAGGCTCTGCTAAATCTGCCTTTTCCCTTTTCCTCAGCATATCTGAGGCTGTGGTGAGACTGTGATTGCAAAACTGGCAGTTGCAGGTTATGAAATCAGCAGTCTTCAGCTCCACCACTAGCTCCCTGTTATTGGCTCACTTCAATGCGGAGTCAGCTGGGTTAATCTGCTGATGGAAGTGACTTAAATTCCCGTGTCTGAGTTTGTACAAAAGCAGATCAGGGCTGGATGATGCTTTCCTTGCTGCAGTTTCTTTTGCAGTTATCATCTGACCATGGTAAATCTTTAAAGCTAAAGTTCCTGGGAGAAGTTGGTGAGGTTACCCTGGCTACCTAAGTTGATAAGTTGATGTCACTGGACTACAGAATCTGTCCTTTCTTCTCTGCCACCCAATACGTACTGTTGTTTCGGGACATCATTCTGTTTGTAACAGCTGTCACAGCCTTCTCTGTTGACTGAGGGCTTGTTAATAAGGAAACCTGTGACTACTAAGCTATTTATGTGTGCTCTAAATGGATACCCCAGGGAGAAGGGTGGCCTTGAATGACTTCTCATCCTTTCTCAAAACAGAGTTTGGAGAGCTGGGAAGTGAGGCAGTAGAAAAAGAGCTGTTAACAGGGGCTGAAGGATCTCTGAAGAGGAAATCAGCACTCTCTTCATTCAAGTTACCAAGCCTCATGCCAAAGGAGAAAGGTATTGCTATTACAAAAGTCATCAGTTAGTTTTACCATGATGTATCAGTAATGAACATGACAGTGCTGTGTGGGGCCAGTTTCTAAGGATGGATCTGCAATGACTGTCTGGAGATGACCTGGACCAACTCATACAATACAAGCCAGCCTCCTACATTTATGTCATAACTATATACTTGTTAAAACTGCCTTGTCATGCCATTGCTTGCAAATTGGAGTCATCCTAGGAAGCCACTGCAAAGGAATAAAATCTATGTGTAAACTAGAAAGAGAATAAATGGAGTATTCAAAGGTGGGATGGCAGAATCAGGGAATTGTGAATTCCTATGGTCCAGTCCTGTGTCCATGTGTAAGTGCCAGACAAGCTACTGTAGATCTATAAAATGAAAAATGCTGGGGCAGGCAGAAACAGTGCATCGGCAAAGCTGAATTTGTTTTTGCCCAGACATGTTTCCCCTGGACTCTAGCAGGAGTGTTTTCTGAGGTCAGGTTAATGCCCCAGTATTAAGCAGAGCCCAGCCAAGCACTACAAAGGCCTGGCAGCTCCTGGACACTGTGGAGAAAAAACCCTGGACAAACATGGCAAACCTGAGCTTCCCCTTTCCCCTGGAGTCAGCAGCAGACTTGATGCTTTATGGGCTTTTTCCTCCTTCCGTATCCATCCTTTATGTCTTCTCTCTTTGTTTTGGTTTGATCTGACCCCCTTGTCCTTGAAACACTATCATTTAGTTTTGCCCCCACATTTAAGCTAGGCAAGAAGAAAGCTCTTGCTGTGACATGCTCTCTCTCTCCTATGAGCTGTTCTGCTTGCCTTAGATGTACCAGCAGGGCTGGGAAATCATAAAACCCTAGAATGCTTTGGATTGGAAGGGACTTTAAAGTTTATCCAGTTCCAACCCCCTGCCTGTGGCAGAGACACCTTCCACTAGACCAGGGTGCTCCAAGCCCCATCCCCTGCCAGGGATGGGGCAGCCACAGCTTCTCTGGGCAACCTGTGCCAGGGTCTCACCACCCTCACAGGGAAGAACTTCGTTCTCAGATCTCATCTAAATCTCCCCTCTGTCAGTTTAAAGCCATTCCCCCTTGTCCTACCCCAACATGCTCTGATAGAAAGTCCCTCTTCAGCTTTCTTGTAGGTCCTGGAGCCTTCTCTTCTCCAGGCTGAACAAACATTTCACAGCTCCCATCTAGTAGCAAGGTGTCCCAAATTTATTGCTAGAAATAAATAGAAATACTCAGAGGGAAACATCATAGAATCACAGAAAGGTTTGTTTTGAAAAGGTTCTTTAAGATCAAATGTCAGCTAACACTATACAATGTCAAACTTAGAGGACTTCCAAAGCTGAAGCTAGCTGTATATCTTCATTCCTTGTTCAGTCATAGTCAGATTAGATCTACATATATGGTCAAGAAATCAGGAAAGAAGTTCTTCCTAATATCTAATCTAAATCTCCCTTCTCTATCAGTTTAAAGCCTTTCCTCCTAGTCCTGTCCCTACCTGCCCTTGTCAAAAGCCCCTCTCCAGATCTCTTGTCAACCACTCTGAATTGCTGCTTTTCCTCTTTTTTTGCAGCACCACTGTTCGTTGAGGAGCTCATGGATCAGGCTGCTGCCATTGGACAGTGCGTAACACTGTCATGCCGGACCGCAGCTCATTCCCCCCTGCACACCAACTGGTTCAAAGGTGATGTTGACATCCCTCTAGGGAGTCCTTAATCTCAGGTTTAGACAGGCAGGAAGGGATTTAGACACCTTAGTATAAATTTGCAGGGTACTTATCTCTCCTATCTTCTGCTTTTCAGATGGGACACCTGTCCAAAGCAGCAGCCGGATCCTCATCTCAAGCACTCTCAAAAACTTCCAGCTGTTAACTATTCTCTCTGTTAGTGCTGATGATTTTGGTGTTTACACCTGTGTAGCCACAAACTCCCTAGGCTCAGCATCCACCTCTTGCATCATAAGAAAAGCAGGTAAGAGAAGTAGTACCTACAGAAGAAAGTATTACAAGTATTCCTGTCTAAAATGCGACCTGTAAATACCCGCGTGGTGAGATTTCTGCAGGTAGATTCAGAGGACAATCCCTCCCTTGTCTGCTCTAGTTTACAGCCCTTGCTGTGTTGGTAGCATGGCACATTTTGCAGGGTTCCTTTCCTCCTCTTCTCTGTTTAGTCTCTCTTCTGGATTCAGAGGCACTCCAGTAACCATGTGGTTCTAGAACCAAACTTCAAAATTTTAATGCAGAGTTTAAATTAGGCACGGTTAAATTGTTGCTCCACCAGGGGTGTCTATACATACATATTTAAATATATGTATATTATACATATATATATAAAGAATATCTGTACCTGAGAAATGCTGGGTGAGACCTTTGTATCACAGCAGTGCTATTGCTAACAGTCACCGGGTTTTGTGTCTCCTCTCAATAGAGGTTCCTCCCAGCCCTCCACCCCCTGACATTGTGGAGGTCTACAAAGATGGAGTGCAGATGGTCTGGAGACCTGTGGAAACCAATACGCCCGTCCACTACAGTGTCCAGTGCAAGAGCGAAGGTAAAGTGGAGTGTTGCCCTTATGCCTTATGCAAAGAATATCTCGATTTGTGTGGTCTCTTCCCCAGCCTGATTTTAGCCCCATAGTTTAGAGTTAGGGATGAAATTAATACAGCCATCCTTTAGCCATCTAAAAGTTAGATGTTGTGCTGGCTAAATCAGCAAAGCTTTTTTGTAAGTATACATTCATGTGAATCAAACTAGGTCACATGGAAGCTATGACCAAAAAGTGAACGGCTACAGGAGAATATGCATGGCTGGAGCCAGATTCTGTCAATGTTATACACTAATGATGCCCAGCAACAACAATCAGCCTATACCCAGGCTTTCTGTATGGTCTGTGGAGAAAGGTCTATCAGAAGGGCAACTCATCCTATGCTAAACAGCCATGCTTTCTTTTTCCATTGATAATACAGGAAGGAAACTTAAGGCAAACAGGTAGGACAAGATAAAAAAAGTTTGACAAAACTTTATCATTCCTTTGATGCTCTCTTCCAAGATTTGGTCCAGAGCCTGATGAATACAGTGGATGTTTTCTTGTTTGATTCCATGAACTTTGCATCAAATCTCCAAACCTGTTCCATCTCTTCTGGGGCAGCTTTTGCTGCTGTTACTATTACGAATGCTATGTCAAATAGTAATTTCTCCTGCAGTCACATATACACAGCCCTTTGGATTCAACTACTCCATGTTTCTTCTTTTAATTCTCCAAACATACAGGCATTCCTTTCTGGATTAGCATGAGCATGGGCAGAAGCTTTCTGCCTTTTCTTTCTGGAGCTGGTATCTGTTGGTTTTTCTCCAACACAGCTCTCTCTATTTGTATTCCTTTTGCCACAACTGCTTGGGGAGGATGCAAACACAGGTTGTTCCAATTAGGAAGAAAAACAGGAAACAGCATCTACAGTCTTTCACTGCATTCTGTGTATTTGGCAGGAACATTCTCAGTCCTGCTTTCCTGAACAAGGGAGGATTAAAATAATCACAAAAAAAAATTCCTTGTTTTATCCATTACTTGACAGTAGGCTTCTGCATGCTGCTTCTGCAGACACTTTTCTCTAAGATGTATCTGCTCCTTCTTACACACACACACTGATTCAACCAGTACCCTGCAAAGGCATTGACACCTTTGTTCTGAATGACAAATTTTTGTTTGTTTGAATGAAAGGATGGATTTAATCTCAGGCAGTCTTGTGTAATTGAGGTTTACTTTGAGCACAACAGCAATGGCAAAGTATGGGACAGTATCATGTGAAATGAATGATCAAATGTTTGCTGGTGATTTTAGACTTTACACCATAGTTCCATGAATAATGAGTCCAGAATATACCTAAAATTTCAGTTCCCTGGGAAATCATCTTAGTTTCATAAAAGCTGATTTAACCTGCCCAAGTTTTAAACACTAGGTTTGCTAGGAGGATGTTAGTGGGTAGTTCTGTCTTGAAACCCTGCACCTCATGCTTTCAATTGGATTCAAGACAAGGGCAAAGGGAAAAAAACCAGTTATTTCACTAGGCTTTTATTTGGAGTTCTTGAAGTATATTTGCATTAGAGGTTGGTGGCATGAATTAGATAAACAGAAACTACACAGGAAAATTTCACCATTGCTCTGAAGCAATATTGCCATACCTTGGACTGATTTCACAAAAGATAAGTTTGGCACATGTACAGCAAGCAGCACCATGCACAGAAGCTGGCCATAGCAAGTCAATTTTTCCTCCGCTCTATGAGACTCCAGTGTTTCTCCACAGTGCCAACACATAAATAAAGCTGATGAAAAAAAACAACCAACAAAACCCAAAATCTCAACACACACAGCCCCTCGTGTGACCATCTTAAATAAGTCCTAATCTGATTTCTGTCTTTCCTTGGTTAAGATGGGGAATGGATGGCTCTTGCTTCTGACATTGCTGACTGCTGCTACAAAGCCAAAAATCTCCCCAAGGGGTTTATCTACTGCGTCAGGATAGCCTGCACCAGTAAAGCAGTAATGAGCCCTTACAGCGACCCATCTGCCAAAGTGAAAATCACTGGGAAGGATGAAATGGGTAAGTTCAAATGCCAAGAAAGCATTGTGTTTTCCATACATCAAAACAATTGCATCCTTTTGGATGCAGGTCCAAAAGAGAAGAGGAAGTGAATCAAGAACAATTCCACTTGGCTCAGGGTGGTTTAGGGCTTCCTCTTCTCTGGCTCTCTTATTTAAAAGAAAATTATTTTCTAATTCTGGACACAGGGGACTATGTGTAAATATATAATAAATAATAAAATAATAACAATATGTAAATAAAA